TTTTTTTTTTTTTTTTTTTTTTTTTTTTTTTTTGGAAAACGTTCCGAAAACATTGCCCTGAGGGCTTCATTATAGCTCAAGAAATCTGAGGCCGGGAATCCCTCAACAAACAACGCGAGAAAATCTGGGACTGCTACCCAGTTTTGGTTCTTGTGTGGGGAATAAGTCCAGCTACAGAAAATGGCCAAAACCCGGTCGCTGTCCTGACAATCCACACAACCCTGGGAAAAGAAAGTTCAAAAAATTTGAAAAAAAAACAACAAGGCATCAAAGCCACACAATCCAAAAAGTATTTTCATAGTTCATAATGTGTCTACCTCCCTGCCTTATTATTTTTTTTATTACCTGGGCCCATTAAGCCAACAGTACTCCGACCATCCATCAGCCGCGAAAAAAGATTGACTACAAGTGTCTCTAGTCGGGGGGTGAATTTGCGCGCTCCCTTCGTCGCTCGTCCGCCCACCCGCCCGTTCATCACTGTCGCGGCCATGATGGATGGTCGGGCGGGCGAGTAAACCAACAGTGGTAATGCGCCACAACTTGCGGAGGTACTGGCTGCTTAAGCTTGCCAGGTCAGGTCGGTGACGCGCCGCAACTTTCGGAGGTCGGAAGGTAGATGCAGGTCACCGGCCAGCCGTCGTGCGGGTTCTCAAACTGCTTCTGTTCAGCTTTTGCAGAATAATTCGGCTGCATTCTCGTTATTCTTCAATTAATCTTCAATTATATTATTTTATTGTTATTATTTGGTATTAATAATTATACATTTCATTATTGTTATTGGGATCCACACACAAATTTGCTTGGGTGGCTTGCTCACCTCCACGAGTCACAAGATGATCCAGAAGAAGCAGGAGGACAACGAGCACAGCATGGTGCTTTACAAAAGGACCCATAACCGCGACGACTCCCAAACGTGGGGAATTCACCCCTCTTCTGCTCGGCCTTGGCGTCATGATCATAAATATTTGACTGCTTCCTTGAGAGGACAGTTCTGAGTACCAATGAGCCTAGCTCAGTAGGTCCACACACCAACTGTTGGAATAAAGACCCAATTTCAAATCCGGACAAAATCAGATAACAATTGACAGTTGAGGGATGGAATCATTGAATTTTTATTTTTTATTTTTTTTTTATTTTTTTTTAATTTTTTTTTTAATTTTTTTTTTAATCCAAGGGCAGTGTAGCGTTGAGACTCGAGAGTGTGAGCGTTGTTCTTCAGGAGAGACGTCCGTTAAAATTGGAGCGATACAGAGAGAAAGAAGATTAGCATGACCCCTGTGCAAGGATGACAAGCATAAATCATCGAGAAATGATGGTCCAAATTTGTAGAGGG